GGGGCGGGGGGGGGGGGGGGGGGGGGGGGGGGGGGGGGGGGAATTTCGGGTTGCGTCAAAGGCAGACAGTCGGATAGGGGAACGTTTAATCTTCGCGGTCATAGAACAGGAACGGGTGAGGTTAAGTCCCGGGGCTTACCGTTAAAGTGAAAAAGACTGGGAGCAGCGCTATCGGAAGCGGCGAACCGCGTAGTTCCGATCTCTCGGACGGGGGTCCGGAAAGAGTCAAGTGTCTCAGTAAATCAAGAAGCTCGGCCAGCAGCTCTCCGTGACGGCCGCCGACGTCCTGCCGTATTAAGCCCAGGGCGTCCCTCACAATCACATCGGCGGTCACCCCCGGGTTGTCAGCTGGTCGATGCGAAATTACCATTTAATCACCGCTCTTACGATTCTTGGCCCCCCGCCGGTAGTTACAGTCGTGCGGGAACGGAGGGCGCCGGATTTATGGTAACCATTGGCCTGCGCTGCGTGCGCTACTTTCCTAGTTGATCGTGCTAAACGCTATTGAGGTTAGGTTAGTGGAACTTATCCGTTGTCGATGATGATGATGATGTTCCGAGCTAATAAGGGAAACTTTGACTTTGGAACGACTCGATACACAATTGGGACCGTTAGTGCAACATGGCGGATGGTTGGGTTATGGTGCCAATGTCTAGTTATTTTTTGGTGATTTAACTAGTAGCGTTAATTGCATAAATACAATTTCGTACAGGCATTTACAAAAATGTTCTAAACAGAAAACTAACGCTACTAGTTAAATCACCAAAAAATAACTAGACATTGGCACCATAACCCAACTATCCGCCATGTTGCACAAACGGTCCCAATTGGGCCAGCAGTCGTCAGAAAACTGAATATCGAATAGTCCCAAAGTCAAATTTCCCTTATTAACTTACAAAATCATCAAGAACGGACAAGTGTCACACACCTAACCTCCATAGCGTACTTAGGTTAAGGTTAAGGTACTTAGGTTAGCTGTTAAACCTCCATAGCGTACTTTAACAGCTTTTCAAACAATTCTATAACANTAGCAACAACAATTTCAAAGAACAATGTTACATCGAAACAATTGTATAAATACAATTTCCTACAGGAATTACAAAAATGTTCTAAACAGAACAATCAAAAACTGTTTCGTTGTTCTTTGAAATTGTTGTTGTTATAGAATTGTTTGAAAAGCTGTTAAAGTACGCTATGGAGGTTTAACAGCTAACCTAAGTACCTTAACCTTAACCTAAGTACGCTATGGAGGTTAGGTGTGTGACACTTGTCCGTTCTTGATGATTTTGTAAGTTAATAAGGGAAATTTGACTTTGGGTCTGTTCGATTGTTTGTGCAACATGGCGGATAGTTAGGTTATGGTGCCAATGTCTAGTTATCTTTTGGAGATTTAATTCATAGTGTTTCAGTATGGAATTATTTTTTAACTTTGTTGTTTTGCTGTAGGATTATTTAAACAATGGTTAAAGTGGAGAACTTTCTACATGAAAATAAGAAATGCTGAAATATTATTGCTTATAGCGATTTTTCAAATAAAATTGTTTTGTAGGCTGAAATGAAATGTAAAATCTGAAAAACTTGGTTTTTGTTCGATTTTAAGGGTGCAATTTTTTCTGAGCAGATATAATGTAGGAGAATTTGCATCAAAAACAGTCGAGGGGAAGGTACACCATGCGTCGAATTGGAAATTATTGGCTCTCAGCGTTCGTTGATTCGAGTTTATAAATTACAAAAACGAGGAAATGCTACTTCGTATATGGAAGTCGATATTTATATTGCAGATAGGGACAGGCAGCGTAAAACGATTAATTAGCTGCGACGGAAATTGATGACTTACGTTAACAAATAACGGTACAAATGTGCGAAAGTTTCTGTGAACGACTGCTGTTCGTTTACTTTCCTCGACCAGTGCTATCAACAAATTAAAAAACCAAATTCCCAATCCTGTCCAGTTCGAGGACTGGCTGCTTTCGTGATGAATATGGAGAGCCAGAAATAAGTAAATTAACAAATTAGTAAATTAAGAAGTTGAATAAACAAAATCAGGAACGATGAAATAAATAAATTGGGAAGTTGAAGATATGTGAAATAAGGGAACTAGAACATGACAGAATAAACGAAATAAGAGATGGCAAAATAGATAAATAAATGAAGAGAAACAAGAAATTGGTGGAAACCAGAATGAACAAATGAAGAAATACATAAATTAACAAATTACAAACATTGAATAAACAAAGTGAGAAATGAAAATACAAAACAATTCAGAAATTGATGAAATGACGAATTAAATAAATTAAGAAATAATGGCTAAAAAAATTAAAGAATTCACAAATTGACGAAAACAAAAATTAACCAATTAAGAAATGAAAAACTGGAGAAACGACGTGATAAATTAAGCAACGAAGAAACAAACAAATTAAGGAATACGCGCGCGCGCGGAAATTAACCGAAATTACTATAATACTTTCTGAAGCAACGTTGAGAATGGGGTTTGAAAAATGTCGCAAAATCGATCTCGGGTGCGTGAATTTGATTCAAAAGTACCGATGCAGCGACGAACCCTGTTTTAATTACTCTTCGTTAGCATCGAGCTTGCAAGAATTTTTTCCAAAAGCGGCGCGCATCAAAGAACACGTCGAAGTACGAAAATGAAATTTTACAAAATGTCTGACACAGCGTGACCCCTTTTAATTATCGGGCACCGTGTCGAAACGAGAATCTCGGGAACGTCCAACGATTGAGCAACATGGCCGAATTATTGCTTAACTCAGCGTTCGTCGTTTACTTGTTCATTTCATCAGCGTGCGCGTTGCAATTTCGCGCGCGTGCAATCGAAAAGATTGCGCTGTTATCCTCGCGAACGACCGAATTAAAAACACGTTAACACTTTTCCGGCAATCTCGCGTTGTTCCGCGTTCACGTCAACTTTTATTCAATTAAATGCGCAGACTTGCAGCAATGAATTTCTTTAGTCGTTGCGAATTCATTCGATTCAAATCTTGTTAAACAAAATATAAAAACGAAGATTTGTATATTTTATACTTTTTTATATTATATTATATATTTTATATTTTATACTTTTTTATATTATATACATATTTTATATTTTATACTTTTTTATATTATATACATATTTTATATTTTATACTTTTTTATATTATATACATATTTTATATTTTATACTTTTTTATATTATATACATATTTTATATTTTATACCTTTTTATATTATATATTTTATATTTGATTCTTTTTTATATTATACGCTATGATAATAAACGCAGGCCATTTTCTATTGAGTCGAATTTCTATCAAAAGGTGGAAAAATTCATTTCGACAAAGCGAAGTGTTGCAATAGAAAATTAGGGGAGGGGTGCATATATTATTTAAATTATGAATATTGACTGTGTGTGTATTGACTGTAGTTTATTATACTTTATAATAATATTATTGATAAGAATTATCGAAACATTTTTCTCAAAAATATATGTACATATACGTTATAATAAATGCAATAAAATTAATATTTTTTCTTTAAACATGTATTTGCAACCAGTGTAAGTGAAATAATGTGCACGCGTGTACATACAGGGTGCTCCATATAAAAGAAACCTTAAATTTATCTCCTTCATTCTATTTTTTTACCATAATAGTATGACCATTAAAGCATCTTTAGTTATATTGTTTTTCATTAGCATGAGGCGTATATTGGATAAAATTTAATGTTCCAGAAATATTTCTTACATGGCAGCTAGGAAGGTTAATAGAATGGTCTGTTTTAGGTGCGACAATAATAATATTATTCTTGTGAATAATGAACTACATTCTTCTGAGAAATATATCTGACATTATTAAGAATAATATTGTTAGTATTAGTAATATTGGAATATAGAAATAAAAAAATAGAAACAAATATTAAAAATTGCTAATTAGAAAATGAAAATGAAAGAAGTAAATAGGA